ACCTTCAGAACACGGCCAAAGAGCCCGAAAAACCCACAACAGCCATTAGATCCCGGCTGTGAAAGCCTTCGAGAATTGAAGACCCACATCTTCAGGCCGGCTTTGACCAATCAAGACTGAGTCCCTGGATGCCATTTTTTTTAGCTTTCCTAAGTTTGCTTTCAAAGTTTTCACTGTTTTAAATGACCTAATGGATTTTTGAAATTATTATTAGGGTGGTTTCATTGCTTTTTGTAATTTATTGTGTTTTTAGTGCGACTTGTCTTAACTTTGTGAGCTGCCTTGGGCTCCCCTCTCTGGAAGAAAGGCGGCTTACAGACGATGTGAATAAATGCACACATAAATTAATGTGGTTTAATTAATGATGTATAGATGGATGAAGGTCTCCCTTTCTTAGCAGACTCTGTGTTGTCTGGAAGCCATTTTGGTACAACATTATAGCTCTAAAGATAAAATTTCGGCCAAACAACCGACAGGCATGTTTGGGATGAACTGTCTTTTTTGGGGTGATTGGCAAAAAAACAGGGAGGAGCATGATGTGAAATTTTAAAACCTGAAGAAGGGGAAGACCAGGATGGTGCTGAGTGCCTCTGTTATCCCTTCAAGGATGTGACAGGCCAAATAAGCAACTCTCTGTCTGTTCCACTGGTTCTTAACCTTGGGTTACTCAGGAGTTTTGGACTGCAGCTCCCAGAAGCCTTCACCACCAACTGTGCTGGCTGGGGTTTCTGGGAGTTGCAGTTCAAAAACATCAGAGTAACAAAGGTTAAGAACCACTGGTCTGTTCTTTAAGAAGGATATCCCACTGAAGTTGTCCAATGCAACAGATACAAATAAAAATAAAGGCAGTCTTCTGCCGATTGGGGAATTAAATTCTATCCACACACAACGGTCTCAATCCAATCTTTCCCATCTAATACCGCAGATGCTATTTACATTTTAAAAATCAGACACACTAAACTGCAATTGGGAAATCAATGCTTGGTTTCCCCTTTATGGATGTTTTATCCATAGCTCTGGCCCCGTTAACTGCAATTTTTTAAAAAAACAGCAAAAATTGCCCTCAATGGCAGCACAATGGTCTCAATCCAATCTTTCCCATCTACTACCGCAGATGCTATTTACATTTTAAAAACCAGACACACTAAACTGCAATTGGGAAAATCAATGCTTGGTTTCCCCTTTACAGTGGTGCCTCGCTTAACAATTGCTTCGTATAACGAAAAATTCACTTAACGATGGCTTTTTCGGAGTGATCTTGTGCTTCACTTAACGATTTTCCCTATGGGCGATTTTCGCTTAACGATTTTGGGACCATGCTTCACTTAACGATGACAGTTTTAGGTCCCCTTGTTTCGCTTAACGTTTTTTTTTACAGCCCCGTTTTTGCTATTTTTAAAATATTCTAAAATGTTTAAAAAATGTTTAAAATGCTTGGAATCGTTAGTGCACCTAATAAAACCTTCATTAACTTAATTTGGCTTTGTTCTGAGTCTTTTTGAATTTTTTGTGAATTTTTCCCCCCATTGAAATAGGCTTCAATGCATTTCAATGGGTCTCGATTAACGTTTTTTCCTATGGGGATTTTCGCTTAAGGATGGTAATCCATTCCAATTGGAACGGATTATCCAGTTTTCAATGCATCTCTATGGGAAATGGTGTTTCGCTTAACAATGTTTTCACATAGCAATGGTTTTTTTTGAACCAATTAAAATCGTTAAGCGAGGCACCACTGTACTGATGTTTATCCATAGCTCTGGCTCCGTTAACTGCAATTTTTTAAAAAAACAGCAAAAATTGCCCTCAGTGGCAAAGATCAAAAGACCGCTAACTGCCCACTTCGCCCACTTACCGATCTCGAACTGGAACTGCTGTTCGTCGGAGCCGTAACTGTTCTCTGCCCAACACTGAACCCCACTCTGAACCAGTTCGGGGGTGACTTCCACCGACAATTCGGAGACGGCTCTGTTTGCATAATACTGCCCAACACTCTGGAGGCAGAAACAGAAAAGAGCAACAGGCGTCTAGATCAGAAGCTTCCGACTCCGTTCTGCATTCACCAATCCCGTTGGGATTCTTAATGCCCCTCTATGGAAGTCTTCTAACTCCAAACATCCGAAATTGCTCAACAAATCGTGCTCAACAAATCCGCTTGTCTAAGCTTTGAGGGAAAGGGAGCAGCATTAAAAAAAATTGGGCCAGCCTCACTGACTGAGAGCCTTGGCACTAGTCCCTGTTAGCTTTGGCACGTGAGCGGCTGTTGAAAAGACGACTAAATCCACGGTTCTATATTTGCAACACTGCATTTGGTAAGCGAGCGAACCTGACTAAACATACAAAGACTTAAATCGACATGCAAACAAAGTCAGCAAAACAGGTCAGAGGCCCAAACCTTCCCAAACAGCCAGAAATATTTAAGCACGACGGAGACTCTGGTTGTAACCTGTTTCTGTGGTCCCCTCATAAGGGGCACAACTGTTCCCCCCCTCCCCCCAAAAAAGGCACTTCCCCAAAAAATGTTAACATTTCCCAGACATGTATAACTGCCATAGGGCAGGGGTGGGAAAAATGAAGGCTACCGGCTCCACGTGAGTGCCCCACGGAGCCTCCATGCTGATAAAATTGGGCAAATTTGAGAAAAACAGCCCAACGTTCCGTATTTAAAGGCCCTTCCCTTCTATTTCTGCACTATTTCAAGGGGTTTAAAAATAGCCAGTTGTAGGCTAATGCAGAGCAAAAGGGGGTAACCCAGCTTCCAGAGTTTTGAACCCCTGTCTTTGTCCTAGAAGACCTTAAGGTGGATAAAAGGGCAAGACTGGCACCTCTCTGGACGTCACCACGCGCCCCCAAGGCCTTTCCTGATTCACAACGTTGGCTTCCTTGATGGGTCTCCTTACTGGACTCACCTCCTCCCCAGCCACACTCCAACGAATCTCCGGCTCAGGATAGCCGAAAGCCATGCACGTGAGCTTCACGGTCTCGCCCATGTTGTGGAAAGGGCTCTTGGCGTGGCGCTTCTCCATCTCTGGCCTCCCTGGTCGAGGGAAGCAAAGGGACATTAATCCCCATGGTCGTCTGTGCTCTTGGTTGCAAACCATTCAATTTATTTATTTTTTTTGCAATGAGAAAAGCAGGAATTCTAAACATGCCTATGATTTATTTTGCATCATGAACTGGGTTATCATCATCCTCTTAGAACCACAGTGGTGGAAGGGACCCTATCAGATAGCGGAGTCCAGCCCCTCTCAAGGAGGCCCAGTGGGTGGAATCGAACTCCCAACCTCTGGGCTTCGCAGCTGGATGCCTTAAACCACTGAGCTACCTAGCAGTTCAAAGCATTGGGTTAGAACTTTGCCATGAGATTTACACTCTGTCTCTTAACCAGCAGAAATCCTATTGTGCTTTCAAGACTACACACGGAGCTAGGAACAGTTTTTGATTATTGCTGTTTTTGGACTACCACACCCAGAAGCATCCAGCCATCATGGGCTACTCACACCCGCTAATGATCCAGGCTACGTACCATATTTTTCCATGTATAAGACTATACTTTTGTCTAAAATCTTTAGACTAAAAATGGAGGGTCGTCTTATACACGGAAGTATGCCGAGGAGAGAGAACAAAAACAAGTGGAGGGGAAAGCAGGGATCAAAGCGATCCTGCAGTGCTTTGATCCCTTCCCCCCTACACTTGCTAAGCTCCACTTAGATTTCTTAATTTTGGGTTAGAAAATTTGGGGGCATCTTATACACGGGGGCATCTTATACATTGAAAAATACAGTATTTGCCCTTCTGCGGTGGCTCTTTCCTCCACCTCTACTCACCCACCCTCTTCTCCCACCTCGCCCGCTCCCTACGCTGCCCGCCATACCTTCCACAATGACCTGGACGGTCTCTTCCTTTTGCAGGCCTGGGATGCTCGGCACGGAAGCCCGGCATGTATACTTGCCGGCCATGTGGTACTTCACAGAACTCAGGGTCAAATCGGGACCATCGGCCATATGTTCTTTTCCCTGCAGGAAGGGAGAAAAACCCAGAAGACAGCTCTTGACAGTTCTGGCTTTGGAAAACGCTGCCACATGATTTGTGTGTCCATTGGTGGGAGAGGGAATCGTCTGAAGAGAACGGAAATGAACCATGGGGCGGGAGTGGGCGAGAAGGCTACGAGAAATGGCTGGCTTCTCGCCTCACTGTTCACTCTTAAATAGAAGGGTCTTTTTGCCTTCGAACTGACCTGTGAAGGTGACCGAGCGGGGCCAGAGTTGGCACCATGGGCTGTGACTTGGGAACCTAAGAGGTTTAATTCCCCAATGAGCTATGAAGCTCTCCGGATAACTCTGTACTAATCACACGCCTGGCCTCGTCTACCTCGCAAGATCATCATGGGAAGACAGTGGGGAGGGAAAAAGCCATCCATGCACTGGGGATGGGGGAGGAGGGCCAAGCACGCCAGATGTGCAAATTCGATCAATGCATCAACTGCTCCATCCACTTCCCAATGATCCTCTACACTTGTGTTTCGAAGGACAGTTTCGGTCTGCTTGTTTAAGATTTTCCAAACTGAAGGATCCTCAACGCCATCATCTTAGAACTGAAAAGCTGGGAGTGACCCCATGGGTCACGGAGTCCAGCCCTAATCAAGGAAGCACCGTGGGGGAATCAAACTCCCAACCTCTGGCTCTGCAGCCGGATGCCTAAACCACTGAGCTATTATTTGTTTGGCTTTCGGACGTCAAAAAAATGGCCGTCCAAGAGGGAAGGTCTCCCGTACAAAGGCAACACATGCAACCAGGAGCTGCTGGGGAGAAAAGACACATTCTTTCAAGGCTCCCAAAGGTGAAACTCTCCCGCAAGCAGCATCAGAAAAATAAGACCCGACCAATAAATTCGCTGGGGAAGGATTCGGACTGATCCTCGCCGGGCACCAGAAGGGGAGCACAGGCTGGAGAGCTGCCAATTTTGGGAAAAGATACAATGGAGTTCATCGGGCAAGGTCAGGAGCAGGACTGGAACAGTGGCCGTCGTGCTGATAGGGAGAATGAAACACCGTCCGGGAGGAAAACGCAATACCCTCCCGGCTGGCCAAGGACATCCGCGGTGCTTCTGTTTGGCAAAAGAGCGAGAAAAAGTGGCGAAGCCCCGACAATGTTTCAGTGGGTTGCTTAGAAGAAGAGCCAGACCTTCGTTCGGAACGGAGAACCAGGGAGACAAGGCTGGTCTTCTCCCCCAACGGAAATGGTTCGCATTGAGACAGGAAGAAGCACCTCCCCCCCCCCCCCCCCCCCCCCCGTTTCTCCAAGAGTCTCTGATCAGGGCCGGACCTCCTCATGGGAAGGGGGCAAGTCACAAACGTGGATTCATGCAGAGACGCACAGAGCAGGCTCCTTCGATGGTGGGGATTCTCTTGATGCTGCCGGCTGTCCACCGCGCCCATAAATGACCAAAGATGAGCCTTGCGGAGTCCTGAACCCACCTTTCTCCAAGAAAACACCGGTGCTTTCGATCCGGAACCGGAACAGCTCAAAGCAAGGCTGTCGCTGACGTTCACCGTCACTTTCTTGCTGGGATTCACAATCACCGGGTCCAGATCTTGAGGGAAACAGAAGGGAAGAGAGGGGAGTGATGAACGATTTTGATAGCATTGAGGGCTTCATCTCTGAGTCCCCACTGGCCTTAAGAGCAGGAGGATTTCCATTAACAGCATCACTCCCGAACTTTGCAAGTCAATTTTAAATACTCTGAGCTTAGCGATGGTGGAGGGACGCAACGTTAACGGTCCCCACCGTCCCGGGTTCGGACGGCAATGCCCAGAATCCCCCCAGCCAGCGTTCCACGGGGCACTCACAGTGGACGTAGATGGTCACCTCTTTCTCCAGAATGACTTCAGGGGGGCTGTCAAAGTCAAGCGCTTGGCACTGGTAAGTCCCGCTGTCAGCCTTAGTCACTTGGCGGAGGTGCAGGATGCCCTGAAGATTTGATTCGATCTCACGCGGTGTTTCTGGGTCCTGGCTTCCGGAAGCCTAGATTGCCAAACAAGAAGGGAAAAACACATCAAATTTCTATCAGAGGCAATTTCCTCAAAAATATCTACACGGAAGCCCTCAACACAGGGACAAGCTGGAACCCCGCTTGGAGATTCCAACAACAAATGCCATCGTACAGCGTCTTGAGAGATGCCTCTTCCATAATCTTAAGAGAGAAGGTGCCGAAAAGTGGTTTCTGCAGGACGCGGCTCAAAGACGGGCCATCTTCAAACCCCCGGGACATAACCAAGAAATTGAAAGCTGAAATCTGGTGGGTCATAGCCAACTCCAGCTCCCTTGCGTGTGGTGCAAACCTCGAGTGCATTTACTGTGCATTTATATTTTCCAGCAGGCACTGAAGATTTCTTCAGCGTCGGGAGAGGGTCGGCAACCGGAAGCCCAAAAGGGAGTTAGGTCCAAAAGGGGGAAATGGGATTTATTTTTTTAAAGGGGGTGGGGGATGGGAAGAAAGCAGATTCTTTGAAATCAACAAAGATCACATGGCCCAGATTTTAAGCCCCAGGATCTCGAGGTGGCCAAGGAAACGCCCCGGCTCCAAATCCTGGAGACCTGCTTGCTAAACAGAATCAAGGATGCTGGACTAGGAAAACTAATGTTCGAAGTCCATAGGACTCAGTTTCCCACAACTGCATCAGTGGATAGCTGCTATTGGCCACAATGGAGCCAATGGGACATCTATGCTCATAGCAGAGCCTAGAACAGATGCTTTGTGACCTGAGGGATTCTGCACTTTACACAACCCTAGAGTAACCCTTTCCCAGCTATAATTTGGAGGCAGTTTTATCTCGGAATACCAGACACTAAAGAAGTGTCACTGGAGACCGAGGCGAAGATCATGTACACTCTTGTATTCCTGGCTATAATTTATGGATGTGAAAAAGCTGGGCAGTAAAGAAAGCGGACAGGAGAGGGTAAAAATCAATGTGTTTGAAATACGGTGCTGGAGGAGAGCTTACCCTGAATTGCCAGAGAGACAGAAAGGTGAGTCCTAGATCAAATCAAGGCTCAACTTTCTGCAGAAGCTCAAAATGATGGAACCAAGGCTGTCCTACACTGGCTACATCACGAGAAGGCAAGATTGACGAGAAAGACAATAATGCTGGGAAAAGTTGAATAATAGTAATAATCATGGGCTGTGAAGTCACTTCTGACTTACAGGGACCCTTTTCAGGATTTTACAGGTACTCAGAAATGCTTTCCTATTCCCTTCTTCTGGGGGTATCCCTGGGACTGTGCAGCTTGCCCAAGGCTACCCAGGCTGGCTCTGTGGGTTAGACATCTGGCTGTGGAGCCAGAGATTGGGAGCTTGATACCCCACTATGCCTCCTTGATAGGGGCCGGACTTGATGATCTACAGAGTCCCTTCCAGCAACACAGTTTTAAGGTACTGCTGGTTGTTGTTGTTGTTGCTTGCAGGAGGCCAGGGGGAGAGTCAAACTCCCAACCTCTGGCTCCGCAGCCAGATACCAAAACCACTGAGTTATCCATCCAGTTGAAGGCAGCAGGAAGATCCAATAGAAGATGGACTGATTCTATACCAGGTCGTTAACATCATCAGACCTCAGGAAAGGAACAGGCTGAGACCAAGGGGAAAAATTCTGGTCAACGGTACCGGTAGTTTGAAGAAGAAAAACTCGGGTGGAGGAGACCCATCGGCTTTGCAACGCAGCTGCACGTCATCCCCTTCCTTGATGACCTCTGAAGACTCCAGAGCAAAATCCACGTTCTCCGTGTAGTCTGAAGGGAGCAAGGAACGAGGCCAGGGAAATTAATTCCACCCTGTGCCACCTAATCCACACTTTCCTTCCACCCTATTTCAGGGGTCAGACCAGCCACTGCACTTTCCGGACCACGCTGGCGGACCTCTGTGTGGGCCACCAGGATAGGCCGTTGGCTACTGTGGTAACACTTTAGCATCAGGGCTAAAATGAGGTTTGGGGGATCAAGGGTCAAAGCCAGGGGTTCCTATGGGAAACCACTTTTCGTAAGATGAAAATTTAGCAAAACAGCACTACTCGCGGAACAAATTACTTTCGTCTTGCGAGGCACCACTGTATTTGTCATTTCCACATTTTTCAGCCTCTGTGGTAGGTCTTGGAAAACTCCCCCAGGGGACACCACAGCCCTAGTATACTTACAGTGCAGGGTGAGGTGGAAAGGTGGTGTTTCGGCCGTGTGGACTTCCCCATGGGGCATGGTGTAGGTGACCTTGCAGTGGAAGGCTGAGTCCTTGTCAGACTTCTTCGGGAGCAGATAGAGAGTGCTGGAGAGAGACAGGAGCCCCGACGCTTCCTTCACCGTCCGGGATACCACATACAGTTCTGTGGAGTAGCCAAGAAGTACAGCAGAAAAAACTCACAGTCACAGTTCTGGAGGTGGCAAACAGGCTGGCAGAAAGAGGGAGAACTCGGAAAACAGGTTTACCCAAAGCTGCTTCCACACATCCTTTGGGTAATTTCAAAAACAGCGTCCTTAACGGCATTTTTAACACAATTTAATTTAGGTCGAGTAGTGACACAAGTTTCTGCTGGTTATCTTTTTTTAAAAAAATCATATTTATTGTTCTAAGCTGGTTCGATAGCTTGGCGGTTTAGGCATCAGGCTGTGGAGCCAGAGGTTGGGGGTTCGGTTCCCCAGCTGTGCTTCCTGCAAGTAGAGCCAACCTGGGTAGCCTTGGGCCAGCTGCACAGTCCCAGGGCGCCCCCTAGAGGAAGGGAAGGGTAAACCACTTCTGAGCATTCTCTACGTGAACACCCCGAGAAACGGTAATCAAAAGCCGAAATGGACTTTTATTATTGTTCTGCCATAGACCAACCTGAACATATTGTGGGCATAGATATTTCAATTACTCAGTTTCATTGACCATTATTTACACACGCCTACCCTGCAGAGATCTTGTCCGGATGATTCTGATTGGTGGAAATGTGTTACATGAATACTACGCGTTAATATGACTTATAATGGTGACTTGGAAGCTGCCTAGATGTAAATAAAGTATGAAGACTTGGGCTTTGCTGATCGTGATTTTTCCGACAATACTTTTGTCTAAAATCTTTAGAATAAAAATTGAGGGTCGTCTTATACACGGAAGTAAGCTGAGGAGAGAACAAAAACAAATGGAGGGGAAAGCAGGGATCAAAGTGATCCTGCAGGGCTTTGATCCCTTTCCCCCTGCACTTGCTAAGCCCCACTTAGATTTCTTAATTTTGGGTTAGGAAAGTGGGGGGCGTCTTATACACAGAAAAATATGTTATTTCTCTAGCTGGTGGAAAGCTGTGACTCAGCCAAGTTCACAGCTACAAACATCACGAAATATAGAAAAAAAAACTTTTTTTAAAAAATCGCCATTCCCAGAATTTCCCTGCTGGCTGGGGGATTCCAGAAGCTGTGGTCTAACCAAGTTCATTTTTCTTGTGGGGGGGAAAGAGCCTGCATTTTGACCTCAAACCCACCACCTCTAAATTCAGGACACAGGCTGGCTTTGTAACAGCCGCCAGCATTCTCGCACAGAGGAAACTGAGCCAGTGGGTGGAACAAAAGGGAAATCCTGGTCGGCTTTATATTGAGAAAAGAGGATTCCCCATGGCAGCAGGAGAAGCAGAAGAATGAAAATGGGGCAGACTTGAGAGGCGCTTTATTCATGGGAGAGAGCTTTCCAGAGGAAGCCAGAAAAATACAACTCATGCCCCGAAGGCCAGCCAACAACACAGTATTATGATCAATGCGAGTGTTGTTGTTGTTGGTATTAGCCATAATTACTACTACAGTGGTGCCCCACATGACGACGATAATCCGTCCCATTGAAATTGCTGTTTATGAAATCATCGTCATGCAAAAATCTTTTCCCCATTGGAATGCATTGAAACCAGGTTTAATGCGTTCCAATGGGGAAAATACCTCGTCGTCCAGCGAAGATCGCCCATAGGGATGCCATTTTGCGAGCGCCGATCAGCTGTAAAAATGACTGCCCTATGAAGCATGGGTCCAGAAAACACATGGCAGCCATTTTGCAAAGTTGAAATCGTCGTCATGCAAAAATCTTTTCCCCATTGAAATGCATTGAAACCAGGTTTAATGCGTTCCAATGGGGAAAATACCTCGTCGTCCAGCGAAGATCGCCCATAGGGATGCCATTTTGCGAGCGCCGATCAGCTGTAAAAATGACTGCCCTATGAAGCATGGGTCCAGAAAACACATGGCAGCCATTTTGCAAAGTCGACGATCATTGGAAAAAATCATCATCTTGTGAACAAACAGTTCACGAAGCACGGACCTAATCGACGTCCAGTGAAAATCCCCCATTAGAATTACTGTTTTGCGAATTGCTATAGTGATCGCAAAAAGTCATTGTTATGTGGATTTGTCATTTAGCGGGGTCGTCGTCTTGCGAGGTACCACTGTACTGCTGGTGGTGCTTCTGTTGTGCCATTATTCCACTTTTCATAGGGACTTCAGTAAAACGCGGCTTGCTTACCCCTATTGAGTTCAGTGGAGGCATTAAGGAGGTGCCCATCTTTATACCAGCTGATGGTCGGCAGTGGATTTGCATTTTTACTGCTGCAGGTTGCAATCTGGTGAGGAAAGAAGAGAAGGGCGTGAATTTCTGCCCAATGGAAAGACTCGTTGTGCTTTAAAAAATTTAAGTATCAGGAAATGCTTGAAGGAAATCCCCCTAAGCATGTACAGACTGCTGTCCCCCCTCCCAAACAGACTCGTTGTGCTTTTTTTAAAAAAAATTAAGTATCAGGAAATGCTTGAAGGAAACCCCCCTAAGCATGTACAGACTGTCATCCCCCAAAAAACAAACCCTCCTGGGAGCACACCACCAAGTACAAGCTCCTGCCGTTGGGAAGTCCTCATGAGATCCAGGACTGGGAATTTTAGCCAGGGACACCATCTATCTCCCCCGCCCTCAGCCCTGAGGTATGGCATGCCCCCCTCCAAGAAAAGGAGAAGAATTGCCTCCATGAAATAAAAAGTTTATGCTTTCAAGAAAAAAAGGTGTGTGAGCGTTCTTCTTCTGTTTCACGGAGCCCGGAGGCATTGCTGTTAATTTTCCTAATTTTCCTTGGCAGATTGAGGGCTAGACTTCATCACTGCTATAAACGTCAGTGACCTGGGGCTAAAAAAAAAAAACCCTTTACTTGCCCTGCCCTGTTTTATGGCCTTGGTTCTCATCCTATGAGAGCGAGGGCCACACGGGCATGCGTGTCGGTTCCTGTGAAGAAACGGAAACCAAAGGCTAACCTGTGAAGCATACTCTCCCGTCACAGAGAGGGTCCCACTGTTATGCGTCACTTCAGGAGTTTCAGGGGGGTCTGTAAGGAAAGAGAGAGAGAGAGAGCAGGCATCAGACATGTCGGGCGAGAAGGGCAGAGGTATGCGCCAAACGCACCCCGAAGGGACCCCCTTCGCCCACGCAACACACCTGGCCACGGAAACGGCTCAATAACAGGCCCTAACCTGCAGCAAACATTCCCCCGAACGGTATATTTCTGTATCTTCTTCAGTACATTACAGCCATTTAAGGCACCACAGAGCCTCAGGGGCCTCGAAATGTTCAAGCGAACATTTATTTTGTTTACGCAGAGGCTTTCACGGCCGGGATCTAATGGCTGTTGTGGGTTTTTCGGGCTCTTTGGCCGTGTTCTGAAGGTTGTTCTTCCTAACGTTTCGCCAGTCTCTGTGGCCGGCATCTTCAGAGGACTGGAGTAGAAACTCTGTCCATGCTTTGTTAGTGTTTGTTGGATATTTGAGTACAGTGATGCCTTGCACAGTGAGGTTAATCCATTCCGGATTAACCCTCGTTGTGTGAAAGCATCGTTGAACGGGATAGGAAAAGCCATTGGAACGCATTAAACATGGTTTAATGTGTTCCAATTGGGCCGAATACTCACCGTTCAGCGATGCTTCCCTATGGCCGGCAGCCATTTTCACGCCTTCCCCTCGCTTAGCGAGGGTGCGAAAACACTGCGCGCAGCCATTTTGGGGCTTCCGGCGGCCATTTTGTAGCCGCCGAACAGCTGATCGGCGGGTTGCAAAGCGAAGGTCGGTAAGCGAACCGCTTACCAACCTTCGCTCTGCGATATTCGCCCTACGCGGGCACCGTTTTGCGATCGCATTCGCGATCGCAAAATGCTTCACCAGTCTCTGTGGCCAGCATCTTCAGAGGACTGGAGTAGGAACTCTGTCCATGCTTTGTTAGTGTTTGTTGGATAATTGAGTATTTATAGTTGCGGGGAAACAGCTTTTGTCATTTTTCAAGAGATAGGGTAATCAGCATGTTTTTGTTGTGATAAGGGGGGGAGAGATTATCTGTCACTGTGATTGATGGGTGTCGTTAGACCAGCTATAAATACTCAGCTATCCAACAAACACCAACAGAGCATGGACAGAGTTCCTACTCCAGTCCTCTGAAGATGCTGGCCACAGAGACTGGTGAAGCATCAGGAAGAACAACCTTCAGAACACGGCCAAAGAGCCCGAAAAACCCACAACCACCATTTATTTTGTTTATTCCTTTCATTGCTTTCCCCCCTTGATTTCCGATATGCGTGAGGCAGCACCGGTAGCTCTCTGCTACTAATGGCTATTAAAATTTATTTGTTTATTGAATCAAGTTCAGAGGAGGGCCAAAGGATGATGAGGGGACCGGAAGCCAAGCCCTACAAGGAAAGACCAAAAGAAATGAGCAAAACGTGAGGGGGGGAAAAGACTGTGGGGAGATAGGATAGCACTTTTCAAATACTTGAAAGACAATCATACAGAGGAGAGGCAAGATCTCTTCTCCATCATCGCAGGGTGCAAGACATGTAATAATGGGCTCAAGCTAAAGGAAGCCAGATTTAGGTTGAATATCAGGAAAAATGGTTAGAGCAGTATGACCATGGCTTGAGAGGTGGTGAGCACTCCAACACTGAAAAAGTTCAAGAAAAAAATTAGATACCTAACCCTGTGTAAGATCTGCTTTGATTTGGATTCCTGCATTGAGCAGGGGGTTGGACACGATGGCCTTAATTATTCTATGATTCTGTGGTCGTAATGATTCAAAGCCACAGGATTCTTAACAAAACAAGTAAATAACAGCCCTTGCTTATTAGGAAGCTGTATCACCCTGAGTTAGACCAAGGGCCCACACAGCCACATAATGTCAACACTGTTTAGGAAGTACAGTGGTGCCTCGCAAGATGATTGCCTCGCAGGACGATTAATCTGCAAGACAATTGGTTTTTGCAATCGCTGTTGCACTTTGCAAGACTATGTTTTCTATGGACGATTTTCGCAAGACGACGATTTTTCCCCATTGGAACGCTTTAAATAGATTTCAATCATTCCAATGGGGAACCGCGTTCCGCAAGATGATGGTTTCTATGGACGATTTTTGCAAGACAATGTTTTTTTCCATCGGAACGCATTAAATAGATTTCAATGCATTCCGATGGGGAACCGCGTTTCGCAAGACGATGTTTTTGCAAGACAGCGTTTTTCGCGGAACGAATCAACATCGTCTTGCGAGGCACCACTGTAATGGCTTTTCAGTGTTTTCCTACGTTTCCTCCAGAACCTCAAAGAAACACCAGTATCAAGATTCTGGTCCTCTGATGCCACAGAGATATAATCAGCCCAATCAGTCAAAAAGCAGAGTAATCATTCTTCAAATCCACTGACAGCTCTAAAACCTACAGAAATCTGTATTTTAAGTACAGGGAGGAGAGCTATGCTCTTCCTACTTCAGAGTCAAGAGGAGACAAAAGGATTAGTACTGAGAACATGAGCAAGGAGCTCTGCCCAAAGGAGAATTCAGAACCATCTCATGCCAAACGGCCAGTCTTATCCAGAAGCACAATTCCAGAATGCAAGAAAGAAAAAACCAACGACTGGATCTACTGGAGATTCCCCTTTTCTGATCAAAGGAAGGTAGGGAGACAAACACAGCTGCGTGTCTATATTGTTCCCAGTTGTATAGACAGCTGCTCGGCGGAGCAGGGTGTTATTCAAAGCCACTGTTTGCTGTTGTGCTGCTGGATGAGGCCGATGACGAGTCAAGCCTGGCTTCTGTGAGACAATAGCCATGGGCTGCCCCGAGAAGGCTGGAGGGCAGAAGTTACACCAAAGATCAGCGTGGAGAGAAGGTCTACTAAAGAGGCACAGCGGAAAAAACACACGGCCTCTCTACCCAACAGCAGAGCTGGCATCTCCAGGGGTCTCTGTGAGGGAAGTTTTTGTGAGGGAAGGATGGATAAGTATACAGCGCTGAAGGTGATTAGGGGAAGACGATGATGAGTCAAGCCTGGCTTCTGTTAGACAATAGCTATGGGTTGCCCTGAGACGGCTGGAGGGCACAAGTTACACCAAAGATCAGCGTGGAGAGAAGGTCTACCAAAGGGGCACCGATAAAATACTAGATGAAAACAAGAGAAGATGACAAGCAGCAAATGCAGAGGTATGCACCCCAGTCCTCAGTTAGGAGCAGACATTTTAAGAAGGTGACACGGATGGAGGACAGGAAAGCATAGGAAGAAGCACAGTGTTGCCCAGTGACGAATAATAAAGGTGGTGCCATTTCAATGACCGGAAGGCCCTCGGGTAAAAAGGTGGTGGCACTGAAGGTGAGAAGGTCGAAGGAAGAGATGTGTAATGAAACCTAAATGGAAAGGCGAGGTGTGCAGATCTGTGTTTCTGGACTACAACTCCCAGAATCCCCCAGTGCTCCCTGGAGAATTCTAGGAGTTGTAGTGCATGAAAAACAAATGGACACACCCCTAGTGGAAGGAGGACAAGTCCACGGAAATCTTTAAAACAGTGGTTCCCAACCTTGGGTCCCCAGATGTTGTTGGACTGCAACTCCCAGAAGCCTTCACCACTGATGCTTCACTGACAAGGATTTCTGGGAGTTGCAGTCCAAGAACCTCTGTGGAGGGACGAGGGGGCATGGTGGGCGTGGGAGAGGCCAGGAGGGGATTTCAAGAGCGGCTCTCCGAGAGGCTGAATCTCTCACCGTACACCTTGAGTTGGGTGGCTCCCGTTCCAGTCCCTGAACTGCTGGTCACTTGACAAGAGAAAGTCCTCTCGTCACTCACGTCCACGGATTTGATGACCAAGCTGTAGTTGGTGTCCATGGTGACTCGGTCTTTGTATTCGGTGCCTCTGTCCACGCCCTGCTGGACCTGATCGTTGTAGGCCACACGCCGCTGCTCCCCGTTCCTGTCCGTCTGGGTGGTCAAGAGAGATTTGGGTGTTTGTGGTCCGAGAAGAAAGGGTTGGTTAAATCCATGGTCTACGTTTCCTCCCCACACACAAACACACGGCTTCAACTAACCACCACTGCTGCTCCTTCCCAAAGCCCGCATACTCACGATGAACCACTCCACCAGGTGAAAATCCTCTCCTTCCGACACGTTATGCGTGCAGGGAATTGGCACCTCTTCGCCCAACCGGACTTCCATCACAGCAGGCAGAGAGACTTGCACACCGGCCTGGCATTCTGCAGAAAAAGAAAAATCAAGAAAAAGAACAGGGGGATTCAAATCAGGCCGAGAAAAATAGCTCAGTTAGCTCAAAGCCCTGGCTAAGTACCCACTAATTTTCCCAGAGAGGTATCCTGACAAGGTAGGCCACTAGGCTAGCTCCCGCCCCCGCTAGAGTCTGTCGACAAGTCTTCACAGACACCTGCACTGCTTCCACTCTATTCTTCTTTTCCCTCACAACAGACACCTTTGGGGTTTCCTTTAGTAGAGCAGATGAGGCTTGGGGGCTACCAGTTGCTGACCATTATCTTAAGCATGATGCTGATACAAAGAATCCCTTCAGTGAAAAAACATTTACAAGGTTCTCCGTGGTATCCATCTTTCCCCCAGTTTAACCAGTCTCCCGTTTGGCAGACCAAAATGGGCACATGCTAAGCCCACAACGCCTTCCAAGTCCTCTCTAAACCACGACTGGGAGAAATTTCTAGACAAGTATACGTCGGCTGCAGCAAAAGCATCCAAGAATCGTACAGCACCTTAATTCTAAATTAGCGAGTTCTGTTTCGTATAAACTTTCACGGCTGCACAGCTTCCTTCATTTGAAGGGTTAGGGATGGACCTCCTTCTGGTGGCATTCTTTGTCCACAGTCCATCTCCCTACGGAAGGAGATCACGGACAAGAAAATTGTCCATCCATAGTTAACTCCTGGACAGCGGGCTCATCCGACAGGCCAGAGTGATTTTGGTCAGTTTTCTCCACTTTGGTGAGATGTACTGTAGTTCTGCTTAGGGATAGGCACAGGCCAGAAAAGTACCGGTTCGTGATGATTCGTGGCTACTCGCGGGCCACGAACCATCACGAACCTCCCCAAAAAACGAACTGGTCTGAAGTTCGTTTTTCAGGTTCATGAGGGACTCGTCGACTCTCAGGATGGAAGAGGCCTACCTTCAGGACAAGAGAGGAAGGTGACGGGGGCCGGGGTGGACATCCCATTTCACCAAAGCAAATGAAAGCGTTGAGGGGGAAAAAGTTTGTGGTTGTTGGTTCGGTTCGTGCCCATCTATAGTTCTGCTTCCACTGTTTGTTTTGTTTTTTAAAATCTAATTTGGAATGTGGGCATGACTTACGTAATTTTACAGGAACCAATGTACTTTTAAAGTGATGACACCAGTCCTCCCTTTTGGTGAGGTATTAAAAGGCCACTTTGCTAACAAACTGTAGGTTAAAAGGAACGATATTTCCCCCCCGAATTTGGATGTAGCAAGGAACTGCATATAGATCAAAAGCAGAAATGAGCACTTCTGATCTTTCCTCCCATGGAGACGGGAAGGCAGCGCTTGTATCTACCTAAGGCTCAGGCCCCCAACGCTAAGCTATGCTGAATTAAGAAAATACAAGCCTGGGCGAAACCTTCATTGCATCAATCAAAAGTGAATAAAATCGTATTCGGTCTTATTTGTAACTTTTTTTAAAAAAGTGATCTAATTAACTGCAACCTTTACTGCTTAAGAACAGATCACAATTTTAGAACCCAAAGCCAATTACTGTATGTAAATGTACCACACACCCACAAGCCAATGAATATTTAGAATCTCCTACATATGAAACCGATATTTCATTCAATATTTCATTCTGTTTCCTACTGTATGTCTGATGAAACGGATGGGTCCATGAAAGCTCACATTAAAGTATAATAGTTTGTTTGGCTTTAAGGTGCAGTACGTTTTTGTCTTGTCTTGTTTCGTTCGGCGTCTTTGGATTTTGCCTGATAAAACTTTTGTTGTGGTTGTTATTAATTTGCCTTCATTTAGGGGTACGCTTGAACAGTCCAGCTAAATGCCAGCAAGATACGGATGTGCCAGAAATGTGCTTTTTTTCACCCTGGTCTTTAGAAACACATATTTCAAAAATTCGTTGAAAGGGAATGGAAACGCACTCCCATTTCTCTTCCCACCTCTGTGGTGGCTCTCTTCTTTGTCTGCCTTGTTGTACATTTCTCATTTGCCCAAGCAAAATAAGCACCCCCCTTTTTTTTTCCCTTGACATGCCTAGGACAGTTATTATATGCCTCCAGCCCCATTAAAGCAATCTTGATTTTTTTTTAAAAAAAAATGTTCCGCTGGGGGGCAGGCAGAGGGAAGTGGGAAGAGAAATACAGCCAGTTTTTTTGGGCATTGTGTGGGTGAGTTGGGGGAGCATCCATGATATGAAAGGCCCACAGCGGAGCAGGCTAGCAGCTGCTTGGGATTCCAGGCTGGCGCTGAGGGCTTTGTTTCATGATAAGCCCCTCCAAATGAAGAGAAGGGAGGGCTGCTTTCATCTCCGGGGTTAGGGAAGAGAAAAGACGGGAGTTTTCTGGCAAGGCGGAGTGCCCAGAAAACTGCTAAACGCCAGGGAACCAGATGGGAAACCCGAGGAAGAAAGAAGACGAGAGCGATTCAGAATGCACAGATGGGAAAGTCATCTTCCTATGAATATCTCAAAAAACAAGACGGATCCAGGGAAGATGCAGGATGCACAGCCCACCCTTGAGAAAGGCAGCTCCCCCACCCTCCACGAGGGTGTTGGGCAGTTAAATGCAGAGGCTAGAATATGATAAGGAGGGTTCAGAAGGAAGAAACTCTGCCAGACTACAGAACAGGCCGGCACAAAGCCCAGTTTTAAATACTGGCAATGAGGGGAGAGTCTACAGGACGCTGGACGGAGGCTGAGACGAGGCTGCGGGGCAGGTTAACACTTTGCCAGAGCTGAAAATAAATACGTCCAGAGCAAAATTATTGTTGGTGTATAAACACAGAGATACACACACAGTTCTTTTATTCCACCCTCCTGTCGGGTGAAACGGTTCGACGAAAACACTACGAAAACTTGTTTTTCAAGAGGTAGCCCATGTGAGTCTGTTTCATCAGGTTTAATGAAAAAAAAAACAAACAAAGGAAGAAGAGGGAAAGACAAAATTATAGTCGTGATTTGCAGACTGTTTATTAAAGACCGACAGAGTTATTTCGGAATGAGCTTTCGTGAATCCCAGCGCCGTTGCTGAGACGCACGAGTGAACTAGTAAGCCAGTTTCTACATGCATTGTGAGGTGGAGATTCCGTGAAAAGTAAAAATTCCAGAAAAGTAACATTGTAAAGTGACAGCAGTGTGGTTGACACATTATTCATACTTTCAGAGTTCATGGCTGATGTCAATAAGGATATTATCCCTTTGAAATTTCATTTTCCAGGCTTGGCTCTACCCTCACAAGGTGTCCACCCCATCTTTTATGCTTATGTGGAAATCTGTGGCTAAATATTTCATTCCACGTGTCCAAGGAAGCAGATTGTGGTCCACCAAATTCGCACCTTTTGGTTCTTAAAGGGGTGCAACACCTTTGCTTTCTTTTGATCGTATTGTTGTTACATTTCTATTTATACACACAAACATCTGTTACAAACCCTTTTATCAGAAGTGAGGGCAGGATGATGTTTCGCTTCAGGCGGAGAGCCATTCCTCTCAAGACGCCCATGTTCACACACACAAAATCAAAACATCACAGTGTTTTGTGTGTCTGTCTAGGCTTTTCTCCACCAGCAATCTGCTCATTGAAGGGGCCAACACACAAGGGCTGATCTGTATATATGCATTTTTAGAGGAACACACGGCGTTGCCTTTTAAGAAGTCGGATCGCTGCCCCTTTCCAGCCAAATACTGCCAACCCTGGCTAGCTGCAGCTGTCTTGGCTCCTTTCCTATTTCAGTGCCAGTCAAGGACTTAACCATCTGCAGACAATGCATGAGCCTTACTACTGAATGCCCACGAATGCCACACAGCAATCTGAGAAATGTTATTGTTCTTAAAGTAACGTCAAGTCCCTTTCGCCTTCCAGTGAACCTAACAGGGTTTTCAAAGTATGTGAGAGATTCTAGAAGGGGTTCACTATCGCCCCTCCCCAGACATTTCCATAGCCAAGCAGATATTTGAACCCAGATGCCCAAAGTCCAAGTCTAATGCTCTATCCACGACACCACACAGGCACTGCAATCCAAAAATAATGCCCAGTCACATTGCTCTGAATGCACTCTGAAAGAGGAAGCATTGGCAGCACATGGGAGCTATCAGAAAACCCTGCACGGACTATTTGTTATTATTTATTTATTCTCTAGATTTATACTATGCTTTCCCACTTTTTTAAAAAAAACGAGGGCTCAAATCAGCTTACAAAATTCTTAAAAGAACAAAAACAGGCAAAATCAACTTTTTTAAAAAAATAAATCATACAACCAAGTAGAATAATAGAATCATAGATTAATGGAGTTGGAAGGGGCCTATAAGGCCATCCAGTCCAACCCCATGCTCAAGGCAGGAATCCAAATCAAAGCAGATCTGACATCAAACCAGCCCTTCTGTGCCACCAGTGAATACTTATGTAGATGAAGTGCCATTTAATTCCCTGGCTGACGTGGTGGCGCTGCGGGCTAAACCGCAAAAGCCTGTGCTGCAGGGTCAGAAGACCAAGCAGTCGTAAGATCGAATCCATGCGACGGAGTGAGCGCCCGTCGCTTGTCCCAGCTCCTGCCAACCTAGCGGTTCGAAAGCATGCAAATGCAAGTAGATAAATAGGGACCACCTCGGTGGGAAGGTAACAGCGTTCCGTGTCTAAGTCGCACTGGCCATGTGACCACGGAAGATTGTCTTTGAACCAAAACGCTGGCTCTATGGCTTGGAAACGGGGATGAGCACCGCCCCCTAGAGTCGAACATGACTGGACAAAAATTGTCAAGGGGAACCTTTACCTTTACCTTTACCTGACTCTGCAACTATCAAATTATACAGTTCCCACGTAATCTTATTTCACCCATCGCCAAACCTCTCCATAAAGAGCCAATATGGATTTCGAAAAACATTCCACTCAGAACCGGGGTGCATGTGTTTCTGATAGAGGTGGCACCTCTGATGAAGTGCATCATTCTGCACAACTTTCAGAGTTTTAGAAGCCCTGGTTTCCTCTGGATTTGGGTCTGCTCACAA